GTATTGGATGTGGTGTAACTTTTCTTTTCATACTGAGAGTTGTTTTTGTCACATGTGAGAGAAAGGTATCCTCTGTAACACTTTTACGCAGTTTTTATACATTTTTTTTTTCATAAATATATGTATTTCTTACCAAAAAAGCCTCTTTCATGTGATTGGTTCGTTCAAAGTTATTCGTTGATTGGTAGTTAGTAGTAGTAGTTTATTATTGGGATGATAGTAGCCTAAAAGTGAAACCTAGGATGAGCGTTTCATCTTATTTAAAACTCGTCAGCTGGATATCACTGTATTTGCAGTCAGTGGTGATGATGCCACAAGTGGGACTCGAATCCAATACCCATTGTTTCAAATACCAAAGCATTATCCCCACTGCAGCCGTAAAACTACCTACCTGTTGTCCAAGGCGTACCAACTGTTATTTGTTTGGATTGTCTTGTGCTTTCCTCTGACTAATTTTCACTAGATATTTTTATTTTATTTTTGATTACATCTTGATTCCACACTGTATTTTTCGTACGAGTATGGAATTTTCAGCATGGATATCGGTAGCCCAAATTTTGCAGGCCGACTATAGATATCAGGTGTGCGTCGGCAGGGGATCGAACCCCGGACCATGTGTATGGTCGGCGAGAGTCCTAACCACTGTGCCACCGACACACCTGTTGATATATTGAGTTCCCAGTACGGATGCTTCAACGATATTTGAATGTGTTAATATCCATGTTATCTGGTTATTGGTCGCTATTCATATCAATCAACGGGAAATGAGAAAAAAAAACACTTAGATTAACCAATATGATTCTATCTTACAAATGATTGAATGAATGACAATTTATGCTTTTTAGTTTAAATCGAATTACTACAATCTAATTGAGCGAAAGAAGTAGTAAAAAAGTCCTTGAATTTAAAAAAAAAGTAGTGGAATACAAATAGCCTATGAGAAAAGTTTTGATGAATTAGTTGATTGAAGAGGAAAAAATGAGATCGCTTCAAGTATGCTGAAGATAATTTCATGTTCATGAGTAGTAGCACAGTAAGTGTTTGCATGTTCTCTAAAAACTAAAACCTACGTGTCATGCGTGTGGTCTGAACTCAGGAAACCGATCTTCACGTTCTACTGTGCAACTAACCAAAACTTCCTTGAATTACTCACAGGCACAAAATGCCTCAACGACAGCAAAAAGACAACTGGTGGCAATAAAATCTACGGTACTAGTCGACAATCATAATACATTAAAACGCAGAATCGCCTCAATAATGCTGTGAAGCAGCTATACTTATCTAGTAGATTCTGAAGTACAATAACAAGTACTATGCAACAGAATTAACCTTCAGAAGTACCTGAGAATCAGATTGAATATTTCCAGCAAGCTGGGATCAAAACTCTGTCATCAAGACTCACATATAAAACAATTCTAACAGGTGACTGTATAGTCAAAATAACCTTGAATCACTCAAAATCGCAGTCATAAAATAAAGCATTATCATTACCATCACACACAACCACAAAGAAAAGCATTAAAATTACAGAATAAACAGGAACAAAGACAAACAATAAGGATCAAGTCAACAGATCATATGCAAACGTCAGAACAATGATAAACAGTCTAGGAAGAAAAGGGATAATAATAATAATAATTACAAAGTTAGTTAAAACATCTAAAGGAGTTTAAATATTGTAATTATATCGCTCGTGCGTCAGTGGCACAGCGGTTAGGACGCCCGCCGACCGTGCACATGATCTGGGGTTCGATCCCCGGCCGACTCACTCCTCTACCTCACTAAGCCAGTAGTGAGGCTGGTAAATCGGAAAGGTTGGGCATGGGGCTAGCAACCCCATCCTATAAAAAATAACACTGCTACAGAAACTTCAAGACTCTAGCTTGAGGCCCTATGTCCCACTGGGAACGTGAAGGAAAAAAAATTATATCGCTCAGGAGGTACTTACCCAACAGTTATTCCGATACATGTTAACAAAATTAATAGTAAATATTATTGTTAGAAATGATTTTCATACGCCTTTCTCTATTCAAAAGAATTCTATCCTCCGTAACACTTGTCTGTTATAAGTTGTGAACTGCACTTACTGTATGATGACTGATGATGCTGTGCGATCACTCAAGCTAAAGTTATAGTTAGACGGGGTTTCATACTGGCTTCATCTACTGACTGAAAGAGAAGCGCTATAGGCAATCAGCCATGGAGGTCTGTTTCAATGTACAAAGTTAAGGTTAACAATTAGTTATCAAAAGATGGTATATGTTTATTTTATTCCTTCACGTTCCCAGTGGAACATGGGGCTTCAAGCTAGAGGCTTGAAGTTTCTGTAGCAGTGGTGATTCTTTTTACAAGATGGAGTTGCTAGACTCATCCCCAACCTTCCCTCTCTACCAGTCTTACTACTGGCTCAGTGAGGTAAAAGAGTGCGTCGGCCGAGGATCAAGCCGCAAACCACCTACGTGGTCGGCGAACACTCTACTGCTGTGCTACCGACATGTATTAATTGATAATGGTTATAATCATCATCACTTATACATATTCAAGCATTATTTATCCAGTTTATTTTAGACATTGTTTCATCCTTTGTTCTCTCTAAGCCTAAATCAGCATGCTTTCAGTCAAGTTGTTATCTGTATCATTTTTCAACGATGACACCTCTCTTTGCAAGTAGGTGCCACATCCCACCTGTCCAAATTGTCTTAGTTAATATCTTCCTAATGTGTACATGGAGTGCAGTAACACTATTAGTTCAATGTAATTAGGGGGAGGGGGGGCTAAGAAGTGGTTTTTGTTTTAAAAGTGTGGAGTCACATGTGGTGTTTTTGAGGTTGTTGAATATTTTTTTTTGGCTTACATCAAAACTTATCCCTGGAGATTCAAATAGCATTATCATTGATTTACTGAATGGTTCCGATTGTGTATATGAGGATATGAGCTGTCTGATATTTTTTGATTAATGCCAAAATCCACAGAAAGCCTACACTCAGAATTTTCTGTCAATTTTTACATTTCAATAGTTATAGCTTAAAACCTGAGGCTACCGATAACCTCCATCAATATATATTGCATATAATTTCTCTTATTCAGTTTGTTTAAATATAGTATAAAACATGACCTCTAACAGCATTGTTTACTCTGGTGAGTATTTCAAAATGTTCACGAGCTGCTGATTCGCAAGTTTCTACTAAACATGAGAAAAAGCATTATCCTCTATGACAGCTTATCCCAGCACATTAGGTCTGTCTCTCTGTCTGCATTCAACATAGAACTTGCCACCGAAGTGCACCAGTTCGAGTTGCCACGTTCCAAATAGCACACAAAGGTAGACAAGAAGATGAGTGGAGAGAATCAATAGTGTTTGACAGGTAGAAGAGCGAAACAGAATCGGTAATGGTAGAAAGAAATATGAAAGATCACAGAGACTGAATACATCTGTGCCATTGACAAAGATTTTGAGCCATGTCACCTATTGTCTCCAGCCATTGATTCCTAGAGTCCCGAGGGCCCCAACTCGGAAGTCTGCATCTCCCTCCCTACCTGACTCAGTTTAACTGCCAAGTATTTCATGGATTGATGAGGCCATGTTTTTGTTTGGCCACCACTGGCTCTTTTCCAACCTGCACCTAGTAATGCACCTAGCTAGTAATGCCCGTCGGGGGAGGCGATGGTTAGGGATGCGCACCACGTGACCTAGCCATCTCAATCTATGTAACTTTATAGCTTCGTCGATTGATTTTCCCTGTTTGCCCAACACTCTACGCCTAACGTCAACATTGCTTACCTTATTATACCACCTAACGTGAGAAAGAGATCACAGACATCTATGATCGAAAGCAGTCAACCTTTTCATGTCTTCAACTCGTATCGGCCATGTTTCAGAGCCATAGAGAATGACGGAGCGAACTGCTGGGCAGTACGCACGTCCCTTGGTTGATAGCCGGATCTCACGCCTACACCAGAGATAGTGTAAGTCAGCGAAAGCAGCTCGAGCTTTTTGGATCCGTGCTGAGATTTCGTCGCCAATCAGTCCGTTGGTGGTGATACAACTTCCCAAATAGGTGAAGTGGTCAACATGTTCTATCACTTCACTCCTTATCACTAAGCTAGGAGTTGACGTAGTCCAGTCCTGTAGTAGCATATTACATTTTGCAGGGGCGAATCGCATGCCAAACATACGAAGATTGCTGCTCAAGGTGTTCAGAAGACTCTGCTGGATTTTGTCAGCATCCTCCCCTAACAGGACTATGTCATCTGCATATTCTAAGTCCAAAAGACTATTCCCTGGTAACAAGTCGATTCCTAAGTCGTTACGTTCAGTTAAGGAGACTTCCGTTAGCATATCTATGATGAAGTTAAACAGAAATGGGGAAAGTTGACATCCCTGTCGGACACCACTGGTTGTTATCAATTCAGATGACAATTCCCCATAAGCCCTTAAACGACTACGTGAGTTTGAATAGAGTGCCTTGATTAGTGCAATGTACTTTCTTGACACTCCCTTCACAGTCAAACATTGATTACCATAGTAGCTTTCGATCCACGGAGTCGAAGGCCGCGTTCAAGTCAAGAAATATGACAATTGTTGGACGCCGAAAAGTGTGTCAGGTGATCATTCCTGAGTGGTATCCTTAGTTCGCAAAATGTACTCTTGAATTTTTTTGTATTTGGCATTCAACAAAATGTCGTCGTGGTATTTTTCGAAAGAGAAAAAGAAGAAATATCATACTTCGGGTCCATTGTTTTGCTCTTCAGGTCAGATGGAAGTGTGTCACACGATAAACAGTGTCAATCAATTTTTTTTATTTGAAGTTCTTGGACGAAGAGAAAACAGCATGTAATAAACTCTGTTGAAAATTCTGTACATTTACATCAACATTATTCAGAATCAAGCTATGATTATTATTATTATTATTATTATGAAAGAAAAATATACCATTTTTTCAAAACTTAATCTATGAATTTCTACTCTCCCTTCCACCATTTTTATCTCTTAATTATAGAGTTGGTCGTAAACATCTCAGACCTTATTTTCTTCATTCATCTGGATTGCACTGCTTCTATGATGTCCTTACTAATTTGAGTGCAATGCTGTGCTTAAATTACTTGGGTGTTCCATTTCTTCTATTGACTACTGATAAAGTTTTACATTTCTGGAGGTAAGTATGTCTGTTTTATGAAATGTTATGCACAAGCGATACTTTTTATTCAAATGAATTACATGGAGGATTTAATCATGAGCTGACATCAGTTAGAGAACCACTGGAAAACCTGGGAGTACTGGACAGCCGTTTCGTCCTAGTTTGCGACTCTTAAGCAGTATGCACCCACCAGGGTTCAAACCCAGGACCTTCTGATTACAAGGCGAGCTCGTAGACCATTGAGCCACTGGGACCCGATCCAATGGTCCTTGAATTCTAACTTCTGCCAATTCACGACTGATGTCAGCTCATGATTAAATCCTCCATGCAATCAAACAAAATCCCTACAAAACCAATACTTCAAATGAATTAATTTGAGATTTTCAAGTATTGGTTTTATAGGGAATTTTATTTGAATGGATGGAGGATTTCATCATAAGCTGACATCAGTCAGAGAAACATTGGAAAACCTGGGAGTACTGGACAGCTGTTTCATCCTAGTTCGGGACTCTCCATCAGTACGCACTGAGCCTGAATAACTCGTTGACAACGTCTTTGACTGGAACACTAGGTGACACGGGTTCCAATCTCAGAAGGGAACACGAGTTCCTCCAAGACTGAGAATACGCCTTGTTGATGAGTACCAGCTAGCACGAAACCTAGATTCAAGGCTTCCTGTGGCTGATTGCCTCCACCTATCTAATACCAATGATTTCTTATAAAGGTGGTACCTACTGATGAAGAGTCCCAAACTAGGACGAAACAGCTGTCCAGTACCCCCTGCAGGTTTTCCAATGGTTCTCTAACTGATGTCATCTCATGATGAAATCCTGCAACTAATTTAGGGTTTACTGTATAAATTGCTGTCCAAGCTTATGCCGTTTTAATACAACATATGACTACTTGCTATAATTTGAGTAAAACTGTTAATAAAGAAAACAAGACTGGTGAAGTCAGGTCTAGTGTTTATTGAGACGAAATACAATGAATATTGATGAAATGCTAAACCTTACATTGATTTTTCTAGTTCTAAATAATAATTTCAGCCATTGTGCTATAAGTTATGTTTTGTTCTTCATTGCCTTTCACTTATTAGACTGTCGTCAAAGTTTATTACCCTCCTGTCATGTCTATTCTTCTTCATTGACCATTCAAGTGAAATCCAAATTATCATGCCTTGTCTGATATGATATCACCTTGTATACCACTTGTCCATTTGCACGAACATTTGTGTTCATATAACAATCTCCTTTACTATCCAGTATTAATTTCAAACGTAAAGAATAGATATCGGACTTGAATTTGTTGGTGGAAGATCGTTTCTCTTTCTGAAACACATGGTTTAGATCATTGATCGCCCATGTTTATGGGAAAGAAAACAAATCTTCTCTGGATAATCATAAGGGGATCCTCCTGATCAACATAGTGTTTAAGATTCCAGGCTCCATAGTTATGCGAAGACTAAGTGGAGCTCGATCGGACCACGCCAGCAAAACCAGAAAAGCTAATACAAGGATATATTTATCATATATTCTCCCCTTTCCAGTTGCTTCCAGAACGTAGGTATAATCAGCGGTATCCAACACTTAAACATACCTCTCAACTGTGTTGACTGTAAATGTGAAGAGAGTTCCGAAAAGTATGTTATACTAGTCAAGGCCCTCTACTCGAACTCATACATCCATGTAAAAGCTTATGGAGAATTGCCATTTGAGGTGATGACAGCAAATGGTGCCCTTCAGAGATGTACACTGTCTTCACCTTTAATTTAATTTCATCATTTATGTGCCAATGGATGTGTTTCTTATCGATCTTAGTCACTCAGAAATTGACTGGTTACCAGGGAAGAGCCTCGTCGATTTTGATTATGCAGGTAATATTGTCCTTCTAGGTGAAGACGCTGACGAAATGCCGTCTTCTGGACAGCTTGGGAAGAAATCCTAGTATGTTTGGTATGCTATTGATTGCGGACTAATGTAAGATGATGCAACAAGACTGGTCTGCTACGACTCCTAGTTTAAGAAAGTGATATTATTAACTAGATCTCTTGATCACTTCACTTATTTGGGAAGTTGCATCAGTCCTAATGAACTGATTGCTGATGATATCTCAGCAAAGATACAAAAGGCTCGTGTAGCATTTTCCCACTCACTACTTCTCTGGCATAGATGTGATATCTGGGGGGGGGGTTGTACAGAAGTTTCTTTATAAATGTGTAACACAACCGTTGAAAATACATGTGTAGGGATTTGTTGAGTCTGCGTTCAATTCTAGACGTTAACTGGTATAGTGTTGTCAGTAATAGTTAGATTACGCGTAGTGTTAGGTAAGCAGGGGGGGTAGTTTGTCGATGAGATTGTAAAGCTTCATTGATTAAGATGGCTAAGGTATGTCATACATACTGACTCACCTTTTTTGTTGATCGGTGCTAACATCACCTGAAATAAGACTTGGTGAAGATAGCGTTAAAGGTGGTCGGACTAAAACATGACACCAATCCATGAAGTCTTTGACTGGTACTCTGAGTTACATAGGCAGGTGTTGTAAAAAACCTGGGTTGGGTTATTTGAGATGTTGGGAATCCACTGGCTGAAGACTGTTGGTGAAATGGCTCAAAGTCGTTTCATTAATGCATATCGTGTTGCTTGTAGTCATTTATTTCTCACACACACTAGTATTCATTGTAATTTCATGGCGTTTATTTTCTTTGCCTGTATATATGCGTTTTGCCGAAGTGGGTCAACTGGAACTGTTTCAGTTTTGTGCAAGGTGGTTTATCTTGATAATTCAGTTGTGTTCATTTAAGCCTATATGATTATATCGAAACTGTAGTCTAAGCATATTTATTGTAAGACTTTTGAGGAATATCATAGCAGTATATCTCATACAATCGGCTTTTAAACAAGACAATATTTTCCCTATATTATTGCCTCCATAAACGATTGGGTGCGTTGAAGAATGGGTAGACCTCAGTCTTCCTCCAGAAACTCTCAGATGGTCACGCGTTTATAACCTCTGCCAGATAAATCCTATTGACTACCTTTGGGCGGTGGGGATGTTCTTAACAAAAGTGAAAAAAGTGTATGCAAATGTCTAATCCGTATAACCGGACTGATGGGCATACTGGTCTACCTAGAGGAGCTAAAAAACCCTGATTTCAAACCTACGGTGTACATGAGCTCCAGAACCTGAAAGAATCAAATGGCGTATGAACCTATTTTAATCGCTGGAAATCATCGGGGGACGCTTCTCCATTGGTGGAATGTGGATAAGACTTCAAGTCAAAGGCTTGGAGGTGAGCACTTAAGACAACCACCTACTTCCATCTGGGTATCCAGGTAGTTTACCAGCCCTCTTATAAACTATGACATTTTGTGTTGCACATCTCTTGGCGCCTATCATGTACTAAGTCTCTATTTCAATAATAATAATAATAATAGATAAATAAATAATCCTTATATTTTTTATAGTTGGTTTGTAAGGGTTAGTTTTATTTTTACGAGTTGATCACGGATTGATATCAGGTAGAGTACCATTAAAAACCACCAGGGAGTACTGGACAGCTGTTTCATCCCAGTTTATGAGTCATCGTCAGTACGCACCCACCATAGGGGTTCGAACCCAGGATGACTTGCTACACGATGAAGTTTCCTGGAGTTCTAGTGAGAAGTCGTGACCAGTGAGGTTCATCTAGATGTCACATGTGAGGATGGATGTCACACCGACGACATTGGTTGGGGTTGCGCTAAATCACGAATTGGTAGAAGTTAGAATTCCTGGGCTGACCATTGAATCGGGTCCCAGTAGCTGAATAGTATACGAGCCAGCTTGCCTTGTAGCCGGAAGGTCCTGGGTTCGAACCGTGGTGGTGGGTGCGTACTACGATGATTCCCAAAGAGCTAGGATGAAACAGCTGTCCAGTACTTCCTGGTGGTTTTCAATGGTTCTCTAACTGACCAATCCTTATATTAGTAATATTTGTGGAATTTTTTGTTGTAACAACTCATTCGATTCGATTGTTTTCTTTGTTTTTCGAAAATATAGACAAATGCGTTTCATTGGACATATTGGTCCATTAGCCCTGATAATTGGCCTTCCATTAATATGTGGTAAACCTGGACAGTTATAGATGCCTACCCAATGTTTATAAATCCGCGTTCACATTTCACCATAACAACAACAACAACAACCCGTCCCCCTCCCTCCCCCGTCATACTAACATGAATGTGTAGAAAATGAAGTTTAAAAAAGAGAAACTTATTCATTGTGTTAGTTAGTTAGTTGGTTCATTCATTCATATGATGTAATAATTACTACTCTTTTGTGTTTATGATATTGGAAAAGAGGAGAGCTAGAGAGTAAGTCACTGGGGTGGTGAAATAAATAAAGCAAGGAGAAAGCAAATTTTTGCATTTCTAGCATTCATATGTTCACCACAGTTGACTTCATTACTTCGTTTTCTACGCCTTCCTATTACATCCTTCTACGAATTCATCATCTCTACTACTACTACCACTACTACTACTACTATTGTTATTGTCATTAACGTATACAAACTGAGTGAGTACACAACACATTTATAACATCATTGTTCTTTTGGCCTTTTGTGTTGATACCAGCTGTTTATTGTACTTCTCTTTTTTTCCTTTCTCTCTCTCTCTCTCTCTGCCTCTTTCTTATCATTAATAAAGTTGCATAATGCCTGTTTTTATAGTGTCTTTTTGTTGCTTAAACGTAATGGCAATAAGTGAATATATATACACTGTAATATTATTATTCATTGTCACTTTATTCTATACCAGAGTGTGTGTGTGTGTGTGCATGTATGTTCGTGTGTAGATTAACCATTTTAAAACAAACACTTGTGAATAATGTACACTCCGTTTATTAATATCACTACACTTCATTAATTACAAAGATGAATAAATATTTACTTACCTATGAGGTGAGGTGAGGGTGGATGGTATGTACGTATTATGTATCAATGTGTTTATTTCTATTAGTATTACCAATTTGCTTTCAATGGTATATTACTCTTCTGATTTCATTCCTTTTGTCGTTTTATTTTGCCTTTGAGAAATGAAAAACAGAAAAATTGAAAATAATAATAACAGTAATATTATGTATTTGTGTATGTATATTTTCAAGCCTTAGTTTCATTTTTAAGGATTTGATTAGTTGGCACTAAAAATTCCAAAATGACTGGAGGAGGTTAAAACTCCAATAGCCATTGAATTCTGTCTGTCTGTCTGGATTCAACATAGAACTTGCCACCAAAGTGCACCATTTCGAGTTGCCACGTTCCAAATAGCACACAAAGGTAGACAAGAAGATGAGTGGAGAGAATCAATAGTGTTTGACAGGTAGAAGAGCGAAACAGAATGGGTAATGGTAGAAAGAAATATGAAAGATTACAGAGACTGAATACATCTGTGCCATTGACAAAGATTTTGAGCCATGTCACCTATTGTCTCCAACCATTGATTCCTAGAGTCCCGAGGGCCCCAACCCGGAAGTCTGCATCTCCCTCCCTACCTAACTCAGTTCAACTGTCAAGGATTTCATGGATTGATGAGGCCATGTTTTTGTTTGGCCACCACTGGCTCTTTTCCAACCTGCACCTATATCAGCTAGTAATGCCCGTCAGGGGAGGCGATGGTTAGGGATGCGCACCACGTGACCTAGCCATCTCAATCTATGTAACTTTATAGCTTCGTCGATTGATTTTCCCTGTTTGCCCAACACTTTACGCCTAACGTCAACATTGCTTACCTTATTATACCACTGTTATGTACTCGTCGCTGAATTATTGTTATGGACTGGTCGAGAAACTAATAGTCCTGACGCGAGAAGGCGGAAATCAGAAGACCACTAGGTTTGCGATGATACTTCTATTGTCCAAACACAAGGAGACGAAAATAAATGGTCTCACACCAAAGTGATAAGTAAGTCAAGTAGTTGTAAAGTAAAGTAGTTCACACAAATTGTAAATGCGAAATATATATGAATAATTCAGCCAAGCGTGGGAAAATCATTAGACAGTCTTAACATGAATGGCTAATTATAATGGAGTGTCGATCCAATTATACATAGCGAATATAGCAGACATGCCAACAAACATATATGGATATATGTCACCAAGCAACGGACTGTCAACAAACACTCATATTATATATAATATAATATAAGGAGAATACACATTAATAAAGGAGACAAGTCCATACAAGTGAAGTGGTCACAGACTAACCGAGCAAACAGAAAGAGAGACCAACATGCACACACACACATAAATATATATATGTGGATACATATCAACCACCTAACGTGAGAAAGAGATCGCAGACATCTATGATCGAAAGCAGTCAACCTTTTCATGTCTTCAACTCGTATCGGCCATGTTTCAGAGCCATAGAGAAGGACGGAACGAACTGCTGGGCAGTACACACGTCCCTTGGTTGATAGCCGGATCTCACGCCTACACCAGAGATAGTGTAAGTCAGCGAAAGCAACTCGAGCTTTTTGGATCCGTGCTGAGATTTCGTCGCCAATCAGTCCGTTGGTGGTGATACAACTTCCCAAGTAGGTGAAGTGGTCAACATGTTCTATCACTTCACTCCTTATCACTAAGCTAGGAGTTGACGTTGTCCATTGAATTCCTTCCCAGTGGCTAGCTAACCTTGTAAAACCTGAAGATCCTAGAATCGATCCGTGGTGTGGGGTCGTTATAGGTGGTACTACATACTGCTGTGAAAAGTGCTAAAAACAAGGATAAAACAGTTGTTTTCAATAGGTTCTCGAGACTGATTGTTAATCAGTTCGTGATCATGCTTGTATGTCGTATGTACATTGACTGGTGGTTCGATTAGTAGTTGATAATCATCTATATCAACTAATAATAATAATAATGGTCACTAGCCAAAAACAAGTGATTCAAAAGAGAAAAAGGTTGTTTTGAAATGATGTAAAAAATGTTTAGCTCAGGGTGAATGTTTCTGTTGTGACGTTGTCTTCTTTCATCTGAGAGATTTCATTTCACATCTTTGATATTGTCTTTTCTCAACAACATCAATGCTAACCGTGAGGGATGCCCACTATCCCCATTTCTATTTAATTTCATCATAGATGTATGTACTAATGGATTTAACCCTAACACACTTCGGAGACTCAGTGATTGACTTGCTACCATCAGGGAATAATCTCGTTGACTTGGAATATGCAGACGATGTAGTCCTTCTAGGCGAGGACGCTGACAAAATGCAGAGTCTTCTGAACACCTTGAGCTGCGATCTACCAATGTTTGGCATGCGATTCGCTCCCGCCAAATGTAAGACGATGTTACAGGACTAGTCTGAACTACACTGACTCCTAGTGTAGAAATAGGGAGTGAAGTGGTAGAGCACGTTTACCGCGTCACTTATTTGGGAAGTACCATCAGCCCTAACGGGTTGATCTCTGACGAAATCTCAGCAGAGGTACAGAGGGCTCGTTTCGCAATGCCAGTTTACGCCGTGTCTGGCGTACACGTGATATCTGGCTATCGACCAAAGGGTGGGTATACTGCTCAACAGTCCACTCCGTCCTCCTTTATGGCTGTGAGACCTGGCCATTGAGAGTGGAAGACATGAAAAGATTAGCTGTCTTTGATCGTAGGTGCCTGTGTTCTATCTCCCGTGTGAAGTGGTATAATAAGGTGAGCAATATTGAGGTTAGGTATAGGTCGAGTACTAGGTAAGCAGGGGAAATCAATTGACGAGGTTGTGAAGTTACATCTACTGCGATGGTTATGATGTGTGTTACGCATGCCTAGTCATCGCCTTCCTCGACGAGCAGGCTGGAAAAAAGCTAACGGAGGTCAAACAAAAACATGGCACCAGTCAATGAAATCTACAACAGTTAGTCTAAGCCACTCACGTAGGGAGGCGTAGACTTCCTGGGGACGGTAAAAACCAATGGCTGGAAACAATTGGTGATATGGCTCAAAATCGTCCTCAATGAATAGCGTAGATGATGCATCCACTCCTTGTGACTCGTGATTTCCAATGAAACTATATTGATCTTCGTTATTACTATTCCTTTATCTCACACCTCTGTTTACTGTCTCTATTATGCATTTCTTCTCTTGCTTTGTGTGCTACATGGAGAGTTGAACTGCCGCACATCAGTGCAAAGTTCTATGTCGAAAACAGACAGGTCTTAAGATTCTGTCTAGAAGGACAATGAAAACCTCGTAATTAAAGCACTCTCAGATCAGAGATTAAAATGTTTGAATATAAGCTCGTAAGTGACATAAACAACCTGTGGTATATTGTCGAACGTAAAGAATTGTAAGTTGGAAATGACTGAAGGTAAACCAAACTAAGTTAGTCCATATTTTTTAGAAGAGTAGAGTAGACAAATAAAAAGAGAATAGAAATATTACGATAATAAATACTATTGTGTGTGTGTGTGTGTGTATTAAAGAGAGGAGGAATAATTTGATGATTAGTCGTTAATATGTTTATATAATGTTGAAGAGAATACACTGTCATGTTATAAAACGTCTCCAACCATTTGTCTTTAACTTTCTAGACAAAGTAAACCTATTCAGGTGACATCAACTAGTCTATGCCACGTTTTCCCAACAACTCCCATATTTCTACTGATATTTGTCGTCCTGGAGGTCGGTAACTCAACATAAATAACTTAAAGCCATCTTAGCCGATGAAGACTGACAACTGCATTGATTAACTTATTTTCTAACACTACATTCATCGCTGAAATCACTTATTGTGTTTTTCCACCTTAATCCAAGTCTACTTTTATTGACCATATATACGTCGCCTATAAACGATGACAGAGGGGACTACTTTGCAGTATAACTGATTATCTCGTTCTCATCAAAGAGGATACAAGTTGGTGAATATCGGGTGGTTCAACTTGACAAATAGATGAACTGGGTGGTAACACATTCTATCACTCCACTGTGTATCCTTAAAGTAGGAGTTGATGAAGTGTATATCAAGTATACTTAGGAGTGAAAAAAATACGGAGAATGCAATAAATGATTATTTCGCAGAAAAAGACACCTTTAGTACATGTATTTTTTCTTATGGCTTAAATTTTGCTCATCTATATATGCATACATTACATATAGACGAAACTGCTTCTAGGAATACTGTGTAAAAATGGAGTAAAAAGTAATAGACGTGCAACACAGTGATCTAGGTACTCTACTCTACTCTCAAAATCTGTTTCTAGGTTTCAGTACCTGACAACAATTAATTGCTTCGTTAAGTCAGTGTTTCTATATGATTCAGAGACTTGACGCACCCTTCAACAAAAGACTTCCAACAGCTGCTTTCGTTCGATAATGAAGGTCAACAACAACAACTCTGGCTGACAGCAGACCAACCAACAGCGTATTATCTAACAAATATGCAGGAGGAAATGAAGACGGTTTGGACATATTTTGAGGAGGCGTTTTATTGACATCATACACGAGGTTGTTGAGTGAACCCCGAATTGGCATCGAGCGGGTGTCAAGGAACTTAACCCTAAGTTCCTATTATTTGCGAAGACGCTTCGAATCGACAATTATACCAGGTACAATTATCGACTTTAACTCCAAAACACAAGGACCAATAAGAAATTGTATTCTTCGGCAGTTAAAATCAATAATCTGTACAAAGTCTATAAACAAATATTTACTTTTATTCGTATTCCTTTGTCTTCTTCCAACTTGTACACGACTGAATCATTCGCGCCTTCAAGTTGCCTACCAATGGCGACCAAAGCCAACGTTCAGTGTTCACATTCATTTAAATGGGGGATGGCATGAAGGAAATCACCTGAAGAGCGAGTGAAAACTTATAGGCAGTTTTGGTGCCATTGTAAAGTGACAGCAGAGTACCAAGCGAAATAGAGGCGTGCTGGTGACACCCTATGCTCTCATTGTGAACTCAAAGAATAGATTTAAAAAAAGAGTAGTCGCCTAGCATATCATTGATATCAGAATGACAGCGTATATAGCAGATATCAAGCCTTGAGTGTCGCGTGGACACTCATTTTAATGCAAAGCATACTTATATCACTGAAGAAAGTGATGAATTCACATTTCTTGAATTTATCTCCATCACATATTCGATATTAATATTTAATTAGCTTAATAAAATTTTGAACAACTACATTTGGTCAACTTACACAATCTTTAATCATTTTAGAAAATCTAATGATTGAAGATGAATGTTTGTTTAACGTTGAATTTCAATTAAGAATAAAAAAAATATCCCAATGACTACTTCTCCGTTTATTGATTTTCTTTTTTGGATATAGATGAGACTCTATCAAAATAACACTCGTAAATCTTTCAATGTGTTGTTTTTAAGTTTTTGATGTATCTCTTTTAACATCTGATTCGTGACTGGTTGGTTTATTTATGACTATACAGAAAAATAAATTCAGTTAGTCTTTATCATTTTTATTCTTATTATTAGTAGTAGTAGTTTACAACAATACAGTGAAACAATATAACAATCAATATCTTCAGAATATAATAATTACCTTCAGAATTTGAGTCTTGTAGAGTTTTGAATTAATTTTATTATAGGCTTACCTCGGATTAGTTATATCTTCCGACCTTACCTGGTCATCTCATATCCAAATGATTTCCAAGAAAGTGTTTCGTCTAACCTACTACATTAAGAAACTCAGACTA